TGGGAGTTTTCTTCTAGCCATGCATTTAATGAAGTGCTTTACATAAAGCAGCTATTTTCATGCTATGATAAGCAGAGCCCTACATGTTTCCTGGGGTTGCAGTAGGGAAGAATATAGCTACTATCATGAACATAGAGAAAACCAAATTTGGCAGTCTCCAGCCTCCAGATCCATCTTTGAGTGGAGCATCCCTTTTCCCACCTAGTTCATTAATGGGCTTCTATATATTATTGCTTATGAAGAAAGGTTATGCTATATATCACCTTTGATAGACATGTTATCAATTTTAAAATAAAGCCATGAGACCTATTATTATTCCCATTTGATGGTTGAAGGAACTCAGGTTTTAAAAGATTACACCACATACTCAAGATTACCCAGCCAATAAAAGGCAAAGGCAACATTTGGAGTTTGCCTCACCTAGCCTCAAAGCCCTCTACTTTAGCTATCATGTGATTCTACTCTCACCACACCCTTACAACTCTTACTAGGACAGGGAAAATCATTGCCTGCTTATTGATCCTATTTGACAGTTTGTTCTGTTAAAGTCTTAAATAGTCAAAGACCAAACACACATCTGGAGCCTGACAAATCAGTTTTATTAACAAGATGAGGCAAGAAAACACACATGAGCAATGAGCAATCACAGAACATTATTCAAGTGTGAGCAAGAGGCACCTAATGTAAGATTTGAGTTCCTGCTGAAGAATTTTGAGGAGGACTTAAGGAAAAAAAGCAATCATTTTCTGGATTAGTTGCTGTTTCTGAATGGGCATTAACTAGGCTTGAAAGCTGTCGTGAGGAAGGGAAGTTTAGCAATTGGGTATTTCCACTTGCAGAGAGGAAGAGCGGTGGGGCATTTGGCAATTATTGTAATAAACCACTGTCCACTCAGTGAAGCACTTTCACAGCCCTTTATGGCTGCTTTGTGATCTTGGAAGTGTTTCCTGTAAGCTCTAACAGTTGGGACTATCTGTGTCGGCCATACTAACCTGAATAAAGACAGGTGGTTGCGTTCTTTATCGTTCTGACCTAAGTTTCACTTATTTAGTCCCAAGTAAGCAAGTTTTTGCTCCTTCTGTTCTCTAAAGTTGGCTGTCACTCAGCAGGATTTTATGGAACTGAACTTTTAAGAGCAAACATCCACTGTTATGTATACAGTACACCTACTACATATTAAGCACACTTCTCTGTGATTGGAAATCAACCATTTTTTCAGAATATGGTCATCCCAAAGTCCTGAGAAATTATAAAACATTGGAAGAGTTTAAAGTGATGTCCTTTCAAAACAAATTGGACAACCCCAGGACTTAGTAAAATAAATGACTTCCTACATAGATTTTGATCTTTTTGATCAAAATAAAATCAACGAATTATTTCCTGAGAAAAATCATTCATAAAAAGGGTAGGCCCCTTCCTTATCTCTGGTCTCTAAAGGTTCAGCAGATTGTGTCATAGAGGAATTAAACAAAAAATATCAAAGGTTTGACTCAGTTCAAAGTTGTTTCCTTCTGTGGTTGTCTTCCTTACACCCCCTTGTTGCACCCATTTGCCACTTTCTCTCCCACCCTGCCCTGTGTAATGAGATAATGAGACAAGACTCAAGTCTTACTAAGGAAAAACATGATTCAGTTATTAGCATTATGGTTTGAGTGCTTTCTATAAAATGGGCTTGGAATTAGTCAACACAGTTGAAAATATGCTTCTGATGTATTCACACATATACATATATAAATACCTACATATATGTATTTATTTCATGTCCTGAGGTTGCTACAGTCTAGAGATATTAACAGTTGTGGGCACAAAAAGTGATACTACCAAAAGAAAGCTCTAATCATAATGGCTTCATTAGCAATAGTCAAGCAGTAGCAACTTGGACCATTGTGATCAAATTTAATCCTTTCTGAAGGAAGTAATAAGTTTGAGAGTTTAAGTTAAAAAAATCATGAAGAAAATCTATAAGATGAGATGTAATATGCTAAATTGGTTTTATACTCCTTCTGATATGGGAAAAAATGATTTACAAGATTGATGAATTGTTCACGTTCAACATTCAGCATATAAATAAAAGCAAAATGTATGTTCAGAATATATTATATAAGTACTAGAAGTATTCTGGAAAACAGTTAAGATAATATATATTTTGTTAGATACAAAACCAATATATATTTAAAAACCCTCAAGAATATATACAGCCTACATTTATATTGACTAAATAGTAATTCAGTCAGGTCTCTAATTTCTGCCTGAAACATAGAAGAGAATTGAAGATGAAGACCACAATAACATAAGCTTGAGTCATTAGAGAAATTAAATATAACACACATAAACATGAAGAGTTTATTTTAAATAAATTGAATATCCTGATGTTGAAGCCACAAATTATGAAATTGTATTTGGTTTCCATGCTAACATCAAAATTTGAAAATGGCATCCATGATTGACGAAACTTTTCTCTGCAGCCATAGTTAGCACTGGGCCAAGCCACAGATTCAGCAAGGACATAAACACATACCCGTCGCTGATGTAATTTGTGGTCAAAGGTCAGAGCATTGTAGACCTCGCAGTCATCTTCAGACACAAGGCTTCAGATAGATCATTTTGATCAGACCAAGCATTGAAAACTCAATGTTTTGCTATGTGATTGAGGTTTGTTATTGGTCATCTTATAGAAATAAAATAGTATGTGAGTTGTGGCATGTTTTTTAAAATATGCAGAAAAGTAGGTTAAAAAAACTGCAAGAATGCAAAAACCTCTTTGAAACAGTGTAGGTGGTAGCTGTGTTTTTCCATATGGCATTTATTTTCCCCTTTGCCTTGACAAAGTACAGGGTGCCGTGTCCTTATATGTTTTTAAATTGGTCTCTTTCTAAGTTATCTGCAGGGTAGTGGCACAGAGGTAGACAGAGCATGGCCTTTGGGGCTGAGCAAATCCGAGATCTACTATCTCTGCCCTCTTCTGGCAGGTGAACTTGAGCAAGCCATCTGAGTTATAAACTCTTTAAAATCAGATAAGAGATATACCATTTTGTGTGTGTGTGTGTGTGTGTGTGTGTGTGTGTGTGTGTGTGTGAAGGGCCAATATAGAGTCCATTTCCTGTTGGAGAATAGTAAATACTTACTAGCAATCATAGTCAGGATCAATGTTGTCACTGTTAAGTGTTACAGATTATCTCCACGCTGAGACTATACAAGGCTGCTGGAGGACCATTTATATTGCACTTGCTATTCTACCCTCACTTTCTGACTCTCACTGTCCTGCTTATCTTTAAGGACGCTTTATCTGTATCTAATAATGGTTTCCATCATGTCTTCCATGCAGCATCAAATGCAACTAACAGAGCAATGGCGTGATACAGGTGTGCAGACAGGTCCAGTTACCTTCTACCTTATAGGGAACATGAATGTGATTTTAATGCCTAGATAGTTAGAAGCAGTACCTTAAATATTCTTGAATAGGAAAGAAATATTACAAATAATGGGTCACTTTATGCCCCTTTTAATATGGTAGATAATAATATCCAAGGATTCAAATTTAGAGAATAAATTTCCAAAATAGACAAAAATCTGTTATCTTTGCAAACTGTCAAAGATATTTTTTCGCCTTTCAACTCATTTCAGTTCATTGAAGTTAGTTTCAAGAAGATATGGAATGGAATGGAAAGGAAGAGTGGGCCCTCTTGGGCCCTCTTTTTAACACATTCTCAAGAATTCTAGAGTGAGAAGCACAAGAAGCTACTGACCACAAAAATAGCCCTGCTAGGGGGGATAGCCAAACCACAAGATAAATCCATAAAAGTTCATAGCAGGTTATATAAATTGTATTTATATTTCAATGTATAATATCTCAGGGAAATTGTTATTTAGGTAAAAATTAAAGATTAAGATTATTTTAATGCCTTACTTTTTTGGAAGTACTGGAGTTTGAACTCAGGTCCTCATGCTTGCTAAGCAGATGCACTGTCACTTGAGCCACATCCCCAGACTTTTTTGCTTTTAGTTATTTTTTAGATAGGATCTTAACATTTTTGCCTAGGGTCAACCTCAAACTGTGATCCTTTTACTTGTACCTCCCAAAGCTAAGGTTCCAGGCTCATGCTACCACACTGAGCTTGTTCATGGAGATGGGGTTTCCCTAATATTTTTCCTTTGTTGGTCTTGACCAGTGATCCTCCTTCTTTCTACCTTCCTAGTTATGCCTTTCTTAAATTATTGTGTTAGTACCTAAACATCTTAAAAACCACTGAGATATGAAATTATGCAAGGTCTATCTAGTACATCTATAATGTGATCATCTCAGGTAACATCATCTCAGGTAACTTTTATTGCATCTCTTTATCTTATTTTTGAAGTTGTGTATGTATGTTTCTTGACCATTCACTTTTTTTGTTTTTCATGTAAATATTTTTATTCATTTTTGTTGGGCCAGAGATACATTGTGGCATTTACAAAGTTCCTACTGTATATCAAATATATCATACTTGAATTCATCCCCTCTATCATTTTACTTTATCTCCCCCCCCATTCCTGGAATAGTTTCAACAGGTCTCATTTTTCCATTTACATACATATGTACACAGTATTTGAACCATATTCACCCTCCTACACCCTTTCCCCATATCCTCCCCACCACTGATACTAACCGCCCCCCTATAATAGTACTACCAGAAAAAAAGGAAAGAGAAGAAAAAAACGTTCACCTTCTGACAGGAATCTGGGACTACTGTATCATAAGAACAGGATAAACATTTATAATCTTATTATTTTAAGTGAATAATTTAAATAAAGTGTATAAATAGTCCACATGGTCTCATACACAAAGTATTTGATCAAATGCTTTTGTTTTTCTTAAATCATTAAGAATAAGAGAAACTGTAAAAAGAAACATTTGTTTTTACACAATCATATAATACGTAACTGCCTTCCCCAAAGCAGACTAAATGAGCAGCAGTGTCTCTTGTCAATGACATGCTATACACTTTTGGTTTACTTTGTAGGTGCATCTACCCTGTCTTCAAGTCTCCTTGGCTTACTGCTACCTGCCTTTGGCGTCTTTGTCTACTTCGAGTTCTGAATGTGGTGTGACATCTGCTGTTTCCAGCCCAGCTCAGAGGACACCCTTCAGCCTGGGATGACTAAAATTCCTTCCAAGTCTTATGGCTCCATCTTAAGCCAAATAAATTATACTTAAAAAAACTATCCAACTGATTTACAACATGTTATGAGTGAGGCATTCAGGAACCCCTTCATCCAAAAGAATAAACTTTCAAATGAATATAAAATGATTTTTAACTCGTTCCAGTATGCCTTATAAACCACTGAACCTGATTCTATGACAGTTGCATGATTTAATCCAATGGGACAAGTTACAGTGTTCAATACTATAGGCTGTAGAATGAAAGTAAAAATCACCGTACACAGGTGCTTTAAATTTAATAACAAGTTGTGAAATATAATAGAGGTTGAAATGTTGATAATATGTGGTAATTGTAAGAGTAATACAGTCTCTTATACTGTCCTCTCTGTTTTGGGTCCTGCATATTACTGAATGGCCCCTATCATTCATGACATTCTGAGTATTCCTGAAACAAACAAAATTTTTTAAAAAATTTGACATAAATCCCATTACCAAATCATATTACTGAAGGGGTTGAAAGACTTCAAATACTGAAAACCAAATTCTAGAACTTACTATCAGTATTCTTAATTTTGAAGCAATTTTATAAATATTTGATGTTCAGAATCAGTAATACTTTTCAGTTAGTTTTCTAATGGTAAAGTTAACATACCATATAAAGTTTTTTTTTTTACTTTTGTATTCTCTAAAGTTATTTTATGCTTTTATTATCATAAATATCAAATCATCAATCCCCAAACCACAGCTTGTATCTAGAATATCATCACATTGCTGTATTTATTCATGTGTGGAATGATGAATTTTAAGAAGTCAAGTGCTTCCATTTTTTTATTGAGATGTGACAGTCTTTCTATAGCTAGGAATAGAAGACAGCTAAGCAAATATTAGAATTACCTAATAATATTCTAATATCTTTGGTTTTGTGCTTCTTCTAAGTATAATCTTTCTTTACTGAAGATATGGAATTGAAAAGTTACCTGTAGTTTTAAAAGCCTACAGAATTCCTTTTTTAAAAAAGTAATTTTAAGCTCATTTCCCATTTCAATGCAATACTGAAAACTGGCTAAAAATACCAAATCAATATGTTGCTAATAGTACGATGAAGAATATGCAAAACTGGAAGGCCAGGGGGAGACAAGCAAGGTGTCTGTCCAACGGCATCTCCCAAGTGTTGGTGCTTAGGGTTTTCAGTTGTGAAAAGGAAAATGCACATTTCTTCATTCTCCATGGTGTGCACGGAAATGTGTCTGGGTGTGGATGTGAAAGAACTTGGGTAATAAAGAATTAGCTAGCTAGTGAAACAGTGCAATGTTTGATGCTTCGTGAGGTATAATCCTATTTTATTAGCACAACCTTGCTAGCTAATTAAAGATAGAGTTTATCTTTTTAGAAAGGATACCTTATAGGTTCATAAAAATATTTACAGGAAGCAAAATATATCTATTACTACTTTACCCCCTGTCTTTAATTTGTATAATTTTTGTACTATATATCTATGTGTAAATGTTTAAAGTCTTCATTATGAAAATATCAATAAATATTTCATTAATTTACATTTAACTCTGTTATAAAATGAGATTTTTTCAAATCAGTGAAATGGATGATTTCCCAGTAGAAGTATGTCAACAGTCATAAATTGTTGTCAGATTTCATAAAATATTTAATTATTTGAAAAAGAAACAAAATGACTTCATACTTTAGGGAAATGAATACTCTGTAAGCCTTCTGTGCAAATGTTTGTGTTTTAATTGTTACATTTTGGGATTTTCTTTTTGCAGTGTAACCCATGTTGGGCATTTTTATATAATCCACAGCTACATCTTTTGCCAAATGCATGCCTGCCTTTTGTTTTCTAATGTTCAAATAAAGAGCAAAACTGGTTAGATTTTGCATGAGATGGTTCAGAAAGGTAAGAAGAAAACAGACTTGGGAGGTTGTCTAGTTTTAAATTTCTGACAGATAAAATCTCTCAAACATGGATAACATAAGATTTTCATTTTCTCATACAGTTGTACAATTTGACTGGGACCATCAGTTTTCAGCTGCTGTCAAACTAACAGATATGTCATATGCTTTAAGATGCAAGATTCCTAATTAAACTTTATATAGGTATAGACTCATCTATTGTTTCTTTGTACTTCAGGAAAGGTGATAGTAGTTTTATTTGATACTGATAAATATTGAATTGATTTTTTAGTTATTTTTTAATCATATTTTCAATGGAGTAGTATAGGACCGTGATTTGTCCTTTTTATGAATGAATATAAATTATAAAGAAATAAATGTCTTACTGTTGCCCAAAAATAACAACTGTCTTTTCAATTTGACTGAAGTTTAATTTTATTTTAGAAGGTTTTCATTATAAATGTAATATCTAAAGAGTTGAATGTTACAAAAGGTATACACAGAGAAAGACACACACAGGAGAAAGAAAAGAGGGAAGAAAACTATATGCCATAGATGGAACTATCCTTAATAAAATAATTGCAATGTGAATATAATAGCACATTCAAAAGATCACATTCCAAGATCAGCTGGTTTCATTGCTGAAATGCGACATACACAAATCAATAAATGTGATACTGCACATAAATAGAATTAATGACAAAAAAGTATATTGATAAAAAGTGCCCCATTCCTAATTCAGCATTTATTATTTCTTACTAGAAACATGATGACTTCATAAATGATTTTGTAGTAATTATCATATTTCCCATTTGGTTTACTAGTAATAAATTATGCTTGAGGTGATCTATACCAGTACCCACAATATCATTACTTATTTGCCTTTAGAGTTCAATTTGAGTAGGTCCTAAAGCAAAACTCTAAAGTGAAGGAACCAAGTCTCCATTTTTTAAACTCTTCTTTCAGGCGTATTTTTTTTTTAATGGGTGCTACCTTGAAAGCAATGCCAAAAAACCTTCACATTTTCTTGTGTGAGTTTTCCTGGAGCTTATTTATTCTTTTACATTTTTGGAAGCTACAAGTCTGAAGTCAAGATGTCAGCTTGCCTTCTGGAAACCACAAGAGAACTTGTTCCATGATTCTGTCTTAGCTTCTCATAGTTACAGGTAATCCTTGATACTTCTTACTCAGCAGCTGCATCACTCCAATGTTTGCCTCTCTTGTCACACTGCATTATCTGTGTTTGCCCTCAAATTTCTTGTTTTACAAGGACTCAGGGCTGCCCTAATGACCTCATCTTAACTTGATAACACCTACAAGGATGCTATTTCTAAGTAAGGTCACATCCACAAGTTACAGGTTGAATTTTGTTTCAAGCCAGAAAATTTTTCTTTTCATCTTTTTTTTAAAACTTGAATTTGCACCACTCTCATTAATGTGCTTAGATTGAAATGTTGCTCCAAGCACATTTTCAGAAAGTATTTGTGTTGATAGTCTTCAAAAATATGGATGAATCTCAGATGCATTATTGTAAGTGAAAGAAGCCAGATGCAAGAGGCTGTCTGATTCCATTCATTTGACATTCTGGAAAAGGAAGAAAAATGGGGACAGAAAGCAAGTTAGTGATTGCCCCAGTTGCAAGGTAAGTGAAGTGTCTGACTACACAAGAACAGAATAAGAGACAAAAAACTGGTGGTGGTGACTCACCTCTATGCATTTGTAAAAACTTGTAAAACTGTGCATAAAAGTTTGTGTATTAAAAATCTTTTTTTAAATGCAGTTATAAAAATACCATGGGCATTGGATAGATCTACAATAGTAGTCTACTTTTGTTTTGTAGAAAGCCTGTGAGACTTTGGACAAGAAATGTAACATTTTGAGACTGTTTCCTTTTCTGAAAAAATAGGGATATCATTCCTCAAACTTTGGAAATTTCTCAGTTGCAAGTGACAAACCGTCAAATATGTTTAAAGGGAAAAACAGAGCTTATTTGCTCAAATAGTGGGGTCTCCAAGATGTAATGTGTATAAAGCATAAGTAATGTTCTCGGGGAATTCTTTCTCTACCCATAGAGTCTGTTTCTCTGGCACGCTATCTTCTTGTGGAAGTAATCAGGGATGCCAACAGCTACAAGCTTATATCATCCAGCTGCTGGTCTAAAAGTAATAGACTCTCTCCCCTTCTAATTTAGTCCATATGTCAAATCCCATTGAAGACTCAAGATATAACTAGGAGTTCAGTATATTTTACTAACCCATCTTGGGTCTCCTGTCCACACTTCTGAGTAGTTGGAAGGTGTCTTAGACTGTGTAATAGAAATTCACACCAGGCCCAAATGGCATGAAGAAAGGAGGATTCTGCCCCTCACACCAAACAGGAGACTACTGGTACTGAGACCCTCCTTTTCTGTGTTTTAAGTATACACTATTTTCAATGATGGGAGTGAGGGGAAAACATTGTCAAGAATATATAGATAGATAGATGATAGATAGATAGATAGATAGATAGCTAGATCTATAGATCTGTATACCTATAGTTATAGATACAGATATATCTATATATCTATATCTATAGATGTATAGATGTATAGATCTATATATCTATATCTACATCTATAGATATAGATATATAGATATAGAGAGTCATTATTTCTAAGAAAGAATGACACAAACATCCTGCCATAGTTCAAGTTTTCAAGGGATTTCAGAAGATCATTGTACAATGCTATCAACTTAGACAACAATCCCAAATAGTCACTGGGAAGGTACATGTTTAATATTAAAAAAACACACACACCATTTCAAGTGAGCTATATTAGCTCTTTACTGCAAAAACACAAACATCTGAGTGGCACTGAACACATGCATGGTACTGCTCTTTGAATTGAGCTTCCTTGTGTTTAGGAGCTGTCTGACTACCAGCAGTTAGAGGCTATCTTCAGATGTAGCCTTTATGGTAGCTTGGCTCTGTTTCACTCTTCTCCCATCCTCTATCAAGGTAGTCCTGCTTTATTCTCATAGCAATAGTAAAGGCAAAAGAAAGCAAGTGGAGACCTGTATGTACTCTGTCAAGCCCTTGTTTGCCTATTGTTTGCAAATGTTCTGTTGATCAGACTGAGTCATAATATAAATGCAGGGCCAAGAGGCAGGTCAGGCCAGCAACATACATGCTTGGCACCTTAAAGTTACAAGCAAAGCATATGGATAGGGAGAGTGTTGAAGAATCGAAGTCAAATAATGAAAACTACCACAATCACTTACCAAGTTCTATTTGATCCTAGAGGGTATTGATTTTGCCATTAAAAAGAACAAAAATATTCCTGATTACACAATAACATGATGTTTGCTTGTCATGTAGAATTTTTATTTTATTTATTGAAATAGTTTTTACTTTGGTCATAGATTCTTTATAATTATTCTTATGTTTAGATAAAAGGGAAACTATATACAGAATAAATTGTATAAGATAGTCCTAAGAATTATCCACATTCTAAATATGACTTTTAAATCATTGTACAATTCTGAGTAGTTGACACTTGTATTTTGCCACTGAATATTATCCTTTAATGGTATTAGTGTGTCCTTTTCAGAACAGATGCTCCAACATTTTTCCAAGACATTGATACCTATCTGCCAATATTCTTTCAATCCTACCAGGCATTAACAGAAAGTTATTGTGGCCATTAAAAATGTGTGCACAAATTTTTCCCATCAATAGGTAGAAAATTCTACTCCCCTTGATGTAAGTGCTGGATTTAGTGACTCTCTTCTACTGAATGGAATAAAGCATAGTGACAATGGAGATCTTTGGAAACTAGGTCATAAAAAGTCCAGCAAAGGGAAAGGCACTGGGAAGAGACTGAGTTGAGTTAGGCTGGAGTCTTAGTCTATATTTTTTTATGATCACAGAATAACACAGACTAATTAAGTTGTAAACTGAAGTCTATTTGGCTTATGGTCTAAGAGGCTGGGAAGTCCTAGATAGATATCCCATACTTATTAAGGGCCTTCTTACTGCATCAGAACATGGAAGGAAGCATTACATGGCTAGAGAATATGAGAGAAAGTGTAGGGGGAACTGTCTCACACACAAACACACCCTTTATAACTAACCCACTCTCCCATTCTTCCATAGTGGACTTAATCTGTCCATAAGTGTACAGCCCTCATCACCTAATCACCTCTTAAAGCTCCCATTTCCTACTCCTATCAAAATTTCAATTGAATTTATACATGAGATTTGGAGGGGAATTCCAAGTTATAGCACCCAGAGGGGTTTAGAAGTTGAAAGAAGGGCAATATGGCTACAGGATAAGAATTGAGACTAGAATGATAAAGTAGATTGTGAGGATCTTGTAAGCTTTTTTTAAGAAAACTGTGCTTTATTTTACATACAATAGGCTATGTTAGAGAGAAAACATAGTGAAAGGATTTAGGCCTATTTCAGACAACAGTGTGGACAGTGTCTTGAAAATTGACTCTGCTGAAGTGAGGGAAACTAGTCTGTGAGCAAATACAGAATATGTCAGATGACCTGAAGTCCTCTTATGGTTAGGGACAAAATAACATACCTCTGTTTAGTTAATCTGCTGTGTCAGAAACATGGCCCTACTTATTTGCCATTTTTAAATATTGAAGAAGACAATTGCTATTATTGAGTGGTTTGAGTATTGCCAAAAGAACTGATAGATTTTTAAATGTCTATGTTATCATCATTTTGGCTTAAAATGACATCCCTTAAATTAAGGAAAGGATAGTTAAAACCAGCAAATCAACCAAATCACTGTAAGCTATGTTTACTAAATTATTAGCAAAATTATTAGTGACTAGTGACTTTAAGAGGGCCTAAGAGAGGATATAAAGTATAATATTAAAAAAACTTGTTCATAACATTAGCAAATATTATAGAGGCAATAACATTATTCTATTCAATTGAGCTGTGGTCATATAGAATAAAACTACTTAGAAAAGAAAAGAAGAGTTTGGAAATGGTCTACACTACTAACTAATGAAAACAAGCTTTCAGAAAATATTTACTGATAGGCATTATTAACTCTATCTGCATGATTTTCCCTGATTTAAATAGAAATGCATTTTTATAAGGCAATTCTGTTGTGGAAGGACAGATTGCTTACTTAAGAAATGGCTAATCTGTATGAAGAATGTCATATTGAGAAGTTCAGCTTTTGGAAGAGTTTTACCACTTGAAAAGTCTAGGGAAACACAACACATCTTTGAGCAAATAATTTCCTAAGTGAATTAAGCCACAGATCTGAATTTAGATATAGAGACACTGATATGCAGAGGAGCTCAGGTGGTGAGGGCCCTCGTTCTGCTCTTTGATGGAAATCAAAGGTGGACACAAGCAGCAAAGGTCAAAAAGGTTTTATTTGCAGA